TTCTCGTGAACGAAGAAAAAGGTACTGCTTTCGTCGTCGTCCCAAAAACAACACAAATATCACACCGTGTTGACTATAATTCGTCAAATGTAATGCACAATTCATAATATAGATTTAAATCCTCTCATTCATGCACAACCAAAGAAGAATATCTCTGCCCATGTAACGATCATCGTCGATCGCTTATCGAACGAATTTTCCCCCGTGGGAGAGTGAAAATTGAGCGAACGTCGAATAGAATCGTGCAGGTCGCGACGTTCTCAATTACGGCACGTTAAATTGCATCGTGTCATAGATTACACGGTAATTTTCATTCGTGTGATCCGCGGCATCGTGCAAGCGTACCACGGTGAAAAAGCAGAGCGCGCAGACCGAAGACTATCGCCGCTAATCTCGCGGCAGTCCCTTTGAAGACGCCACGCCATGTCAAGTAATTGCGTCTCTGTTGCGTCGCGTTGGCTGGCGAACGGGGCGTTAATTTGACGCCACCGACTGGAACGACGCGCTCAATTTCCCGAACTCAACGTTACCGCCGTTCCCGACGTCGGTATACTCATCAGAGCGACTGGCATACGCGCCACGATAAGCCGATCCCTCCCTCCTCCTCCTCCCTTCTTCGGCGGACGTTCCGAATTAACCCTTTGAGCGGAAGTATGCGCGCTGATAAACGCGTGTGATTTTTCAGCCCGCGACACGACGTCTACAGTGACTAAGAATGTTAGCTAATCTCGAGACGTGTCTATTTTTTACTTGCAATGACATCGCTATTCTTTTCCTTTCTCTCGCGTCAAAGAGTGACTATTTTTTTTCTAATTAGAAAGTCATTGGAACTTGAAATTTTGTTTATTTCCTTTCGAACCAAAGTGTAACTGCGAGTTGAGGATTCTTTTCTCTTTTTTTTTTTTTTTCTAATTAGAAAGTCATTGGAACTTGAAATTTTGTTTATTTCCTTTCGAACTAAAGTGTGACTGCGAGTTGAGGATTTTTTTTTCAAATTAGAAAGTGAACAAACGTCGAGGATTTTTTTAAATCAAAGAGTGACCAGAAATTGAAGATTTTCATTTCTGGGACTCACGAATAATTAGAAGCAAGGTGATTTGTTCGCACGTCTTGGAATTATTTTTAAAAGTAAATTGTATACATTAAGTATATTTAAGGTACGTTTTCACGTGACTTTTACTGTCGACGAAATGTCACGCCGTCTTCATTATCGCTAAATCGCGTCATTTTCATTTTCACGTGTACCGTGTCTGATAACGACGAGACAACTCTACTTAAGCGCGTCTAAATAGCGACAGAAGCGTAAGTAGAATAAGAAATCTGATTTTACGGTCAGGCACTCGATACACATCGAACTCTTCGATTAATAGCATTGAATCAATTCGAAAGTACACCAAATGCAACTTTTCCATTGCAAACAGTCATTCCCCTAACTGTGCAACGCGTCGTCAATTTTCATCCGCAACTGCAATTTCAGACGCGACACTCGTGTATTTTCGCCTAGCTTAATCTTCGACGTTCTTTTTACCACGCGGATGGATATTTGTGTCCACGTACTACGTCGCCACTTTGTTCCTACCACGCGAAACCGACTTGCCTTCTTTTCACTCATTAGCTGGTGAAATATATTATCGGCGTATGCGCCGAGCTAATAACGTCTTTAGCTAGCCTGCTCGAGACCCGGTTAATTGATAACACCAAGGGGAGTAGCGTGATTAAGGGGTACATATAGCAGATCTAGGAGCACGGGAGTGCCCCTTTGATGTGCCGTGCAAATCATGCCTCGTGTCCAATCCTGTTTGATAAGACTAGCATGCTTTGATAACGGTACGGCGATGTTTTTTTCACCGTGAAAAGATGCGATTGGCTTCCGGTTCGGCAACTAGTTCCAACGTATAATATAAGAGATTTTTGTTGGTATTACGGACGTCTCTTTGGTTCCACGTATTTCCATTAGGATGCGTATATAATAGGAAGGACTTTTAAATTCAAATACTAGGAGTATGCGGTTAATTAAATTTTTTAAATAATTTCTTCAGCTTTACGACTTTAATTACATCGTTTATGTTCTACTTGATTACTGTTATTCGCTGATTTTTTCCGATGGCTTATGGTACATAATTATGAACATCTGAGAAACAGAATTCTTTTCCGAAGTAATTTAAAATCGCAGAAAGAATTCGATATCTTATTTAATACCTCATCTTCCCTATTCGAAGAGTGCAAGAAGCACTCAACGGAGAACAGATATCACGTACTACCCCAAAAATGACTGTCAGAGATACTTTAAAAGAAAAATTAGAAGCGCCTCCTTATAATTACTCGAAGCTGTATAAAACAAAGCGACCGAAGAAATGAACTATAAATATTACATACTAGCCTCAAGAATAACTATCAAATGTCCTTAAAACAAAGAAGAAATTATCTCCTTATAATTCCTCGAAGCTGCAGAAAACAGAGCGACCGAAGAAACAAACTATAATACAAATATTGCGTAGATACTACCCCAAAAAATGACTGTCAAAGATACTTTAAAAGAAAAATTAAAAGTCGCCTCCCTATAATTAATCGAAGCTGTATAAAACAAAGCGATCGAAGAAATAAACTACAAATATTGCACACTACCCTCAAGAACGACTCTCAAAGGTCCTTAAAAAAAAAAAAGAAGAAATTATCTCCCAACAACTCATCGAAGCTACATATCGAATAGAAATAAACGACACAATCGAATCTCGAATTGAAGAACTCCATGCGACCCTCCCGCGAAACTATTCAATTTAATAAGACCGCGTAACGTCGGCGATAGCCCCGGAAGCTCGCAGCACCGACCGCAAACACATGCCGGCAGTGCGTTCAAACAGTTCCAAGCCCTTCTTATCGGCTACCTTTCTCCCTTGATCTTCACGCAGAGGGTGTCTTTGTTCCCGAGCACACGTTCACCGGTAAGAGACGTTCGCTCCTTGTACGTATGTTAGCCGGCATACCGCGGCTAAAACTGTCTCCTTCAGCGTTGTCTCTTCGTTCCCCGTCGACCCTCCTCACTCTCTCCCTCTCTCTCACTCTCTCTTTCCTCGCCCCTGGTACGCTTCACGGCTCTCCCTGAGTCAGCGTGCATCTCGTAGGCCGAGAGCAGAAGCTCTTAATTTACCTTTCCTACGCCGCGAAACCGTGGTCGCAATGGAACGAGCAAGTGCGGGGGGATGAACAAGGGAGGGGCTCCACGGAGCGGAGAGGCACACGGCACATAACAATTAGGTCGTGTTGTCTTGAATTCTAAGCAGGCTAGTGAACTGATCCTGAGGCACTGCCGCGAGATAAATGCAGCCTTAAACGATACCGATATAGACGAGCTGCTACGCCGATCGCTTGCCAAAGCTGTCTCTCTCGACCGCGACAACCCCCTACCCCCTGGATCCTGGCCTTTCTCGTTAACCGGCGCGCTCTTTCTTTCGGCAGCTTTTGGCCCTTCAAACAGAGGCGGGAGATCATTCGACCCGTCGCACCGACTAGCTCGCGCTGGTTCCACTCCTTTTCGGGCCTATATGAATGTTTCCCCTCTCTCGATTTCCTCTATTTGGCTCGTCGATATCCGTTCCGTTTTATCCTTTCTTTGTACAGCGTATGGGTACTTTTGACGGGTGTTTCTTCTGCTCGGGTTCGTTTAGTTTCAGCCAAGTTAGTCTACGTCCTCGCCAGATATAGGTAACGCACGACGTTCCTGAGTTCGTCGTTTTCGCTTACGGAAGCACTTTTGCAATTATCATTAAACAAGGGTCTTCTTTTGTCGATTCTTCGTTTTTCCGAGCATCGTCTCTGATCTTTCTTATACTTTTCTGCACTCTGATCCTTGCGTAGGCAACCGGCCATCCATTTCTACATTTTCTTTCAACATTCTATTACGTTCTCGTGAAAACGTAAAATCGCTTGGGATTTTGTTCCAAAGTTTCCGAAATAAAAACTGATGCAACTTGAAGTATTACTGTCTCTACACAGGGGTTAAATTAATCATTTTCTGTCCAAGCACCGTGCATTATCTTTGCCCGCATTTCTATCAGTTTCCATTCTTTTCAAACCTAACCCCTTCCTCCTCCCCTCCATTACTCCTCTACCCAGCTCCTCCGTTTCCGTTTGTTACTTTTTTCTCACCCTCGCTTCCTCTGTCCGCGGCGGAACTTCCACTCCTTCTTCTTCGTCTCCTTCCACGAGCCGACAGCGAGGGTTTTAGGTCCCCAAGTACGACGACGTACAATTGTTACGAGGCTTGTTAGCGTTGTCGCAGTCTAATGGCGCACTTTATTATCGGTCCCCGCTGGTTCCACGTTGGACGCGTTTAAATCACCGCCCTTTGATGCATTAGTCCCGGTCCCGGCTCGCGCCATCCGACCTTCGGCGACGCGCATGCTTCCCGATGACGTCGAACCACCGAAACGAGATCGTAATTGGAATGAATCGCGAGCAAGCATTTATTCTCGCGGACCTATACAACTGTCGGCTCGTTTGAGTTCTCGCATCGTGAACGTTCCCCTCTTTCCTCATTTCATACGTAACAATTACATATACGCGTTCTTACGAGGAGAAAATTCAAAATACCCAACAATGTTCGGTTAACTCTGAATACGCAGCGATGAAAAAGTTTCAGCTTCCTGAGAGAAATTCTATCTGAGTGTACGATAGAAGAATATTGCTGCCAAGTTTTATGGAAAACTGTAGTCACTAATATCTTAACGCAGGATGTGACGTTGGTTAAATAAAAAGAAAAAAATGACGTGTTTCACGATTAAATATGTAACTAACGTGTATCGATTTGAAAATTGAATACAATAATATCGCGACAACATGTCAACGAGATCTTTACTAATAATTTTATAACTTTAGCTTCTCCCGCCTTTTTTACTGTTCAATTTAAGAAAGTTAGAATAAGAATTAAGAAATAGAATTCGTCAAATTTCATTTCGTTTCAATGTTTAATTTGAACAAAATTTTTGACAACGATTGCTCACCCTTCAGTTTGTCGTGCGCCAGTGCCCTCTGAAAGTGTTCCTCCACCTCGGACGCAGCGTCCCCTCGATAATGAGTGACGACCAGGCAGTTTGGATTCAAGTACTCCGCTCTGCTCTCGCCGTCGTCTGAATCCTCCGCTGCGGTACCAGTACCTACGGCTATAAGCCAGTTAGAAAGGGCAAATTTGTCATAACTTGATTAATACTAGATAGTAGTATAACGGGGCACATTTACCTACGAAATATTGCGCAACGATAAATTACGATAAATTAAACAACTTTATCAGTTGCGGAATATTCCTTAACGGTGAATTTGCATATACTTAAATATTATCTTTTCGCGAGACATCAGAATGCTGATAATTGTCGACCATCGTTTATCTTCAATCTTTTAACCGGTGAACGTGAATTGATTTAAAAATGCCTCTTTTATTTAGCATTTCATCGATCAATTCCTCATTTTTAATCTAATCAATTATTTGTTATTTAAAGCACTTCATCCTGTTTCCCAAAATTAAGAATAGTCTTCGACCAAAAAATGTATCAGTTAACTTTCTTCTCCTGGAATTTCTTGTTTATCTGTCGATCAGATTTCTAATTAAAAGTCTTCGAGATTTTTATGCATTTATGGAAAATCTGAAGGCACAAAAATACACAGAATGCGCATTCTAAGCAACAATACATAGATAAACCAAAAATGTAGTACTCGTTGTGACGTTCAATCAATAAATCAATAAAAATATCCGCAGTGTAGTAATTAATACTAAATTGGGAACAATTTTTGTACTGAAGAGAGATATATGCGTCCCGCTGGTCACGAAAGGGTTAAAACGTTCGAGTAAATTTGTGGAATAAAAAGTATTCCTCTTTCAACTCACCGTCCGTCGGTCTGTCATCGTCTAACGTCCTCGAGGGTTGTGAAGTGGATGTAAGGGGCCGTGGTTGAGGAGTTGGTCTT